ATTTTCCCAATGTTTAAAGTTTAACTAAAACTGTATGAAATCTTCAGAATTTGGATGTCATTTGTTTTTCTATCCTTCTCTCTGTTTCAAGAAATGCTTTTCCAAAGCTTTTTAAAGAATCAGGATTTTTTATAGAATTTCCCAATGTTAATAGATTTCCTTTGATCAGCAACTTCAATGAGCCCTTTTTCCCAATGTTTAAAGTTCAAACTAAAACTTTTATGACTTCGCGCTTTGTTTCACTAAAATTTGGATGCCATTTGTTTCGCGCTTCCTTCTCTCCATTTCAAGAAATGCTTTTTCAAATTAAAGAATCAGGCTTTTTATAGAATTTCCCAATGTTAATAGATTTCTTGATTATCAATGAATTTTCCCAATGTTTAAAGTTGCACTAAAACTTTTGAAATCTTCAGAATTTGGATGTCATTTGTTTTTCTATCCTTCTCTCAATTTCAAGAAATGCTTTTCCAAATTAAAGAATCAGGCTTTTTATAGAATTTCCCAATTTTAATAGATTTCCTTGATTATCAATAGGAGAAATTTTCCCAATGTTTAAATTTGCACTAAAGCCTTTATGAAATCTTCAGAATTTGGATGTCATTTGTTTTTTCTATCCTTCTCTCCATTTCAAGAAATGCTTTTTCAAATTAAAGAAATCAGGCTTTTTATAGAATTTCCCAATGTTAATAGATTTCTTGATTTCAATGAATTTTCCCAATGTTTAAAGTTGCACTAAAACTGTATGAAATCTTTCAAATTTGGATGTCATTTGTTTTTCTATCCTTCTCTCCATTTCAAGAAATGCTTTTCCAAATTAAAGAATCAGGCTTTTTATAGAATTTCCCAATGTTAATAGATTTCCTTGATTATCAATGAATTTTCCCAATGTTTAAAGTTGCACTAAAACTTTATGAAATCTTCAGAATTTGGATGTCATTTGTTTGGGATATCCTTTCTCCATTTCAAGAAATGCTTTTCAAATTAAAAATCAGGCTTTTTATAGAATTTCCCAATGTTGTTTGCATTTCCTTGATTATCAATGAATTTTCCCAATGTTTAAAGTTGCACTAAAACTTTATGAAATCTTCAGAATTTGGATGTCATTTGTTTTTCTATCCTTCTCTCCATTTCAAGAAATGCTTTTCCAAATTAAAGAATCAGGCTTTTTATAGAATTTCCCAATGTTAATAGATTTCCTTGATTATCAATGAATTTTCCCAATGTTTAAAGTTGCTTTTTAAAACTTTGTTTTTGAAATCTTCAGAATTTGGATGTCATTTGTTTTTCTATCCTTTCTCCATTTCAAGAAATGCTTTTCCAAATTAAAGAATCAGGCTTTTTATAGAATTTCCCAATGTTAATAGATTTTCTTGATTATCAATGAATTTTCCAATGTTTAAAGTTGCACTAAAACTTTATGAAATCTTCAGAATTTGGATGTCATTTGTTTTTCTATCCTTTCTCCATTTCAAGAAATGCTTTTCCAAATTAAAGAATCAGGCTTTTTATAGAATTTCCCAATGTTAATAGATTTTCTTGATTATCAATGAATTTTCCAATGTTTAAAGTTGCACTAAACTTTATGGAAATCTTCAGAATTTGGATGTCATTTGTTTTTCTATCCTTCTCTCCATTTCAAGAAATGCTTTTCCAAATTAAAGAATCCCTTTTTATAGAATTTCCCAATGTTAATAGATTTTGATTATCAATGAATTTTCCCAATGTTTAAAGTTGCATTTGGGAAAACTTTATGAAATCTTCAGAATTTGGATGTCATTTGTTTTTCTATCCTTCTCTCCATTTCAAGAAATGCTTTTCCAAATTAAAGAATCAGGCTTTTATAGAATTTCCCAATGTTAATAGATTTCCTTGATTATCAATGAATTTTCCCAATGTTTAAAGTTGCACTAAAACTTTATGAAATCTTTCAGAATTTGGATGTCATTTGTTTTTCTATCCTTCTCTCTGTTTTCAAGAAATGCTTTTCCAAATTAAAGAATCAGGCTTTTTTATAGAATTTCCCAATGTTAATAGATTTCTTGATTATCAATGAATTTTCCCAATGTTTAAAGTTGCACTAAAGCCCTTTATGAAATCTTCAGAATTTGGATGTCATTCAGAATTTAGGATATCCTTTCTCCATTTCAAGAAATGTTTTTCCAAATTAAAGAATCAGGCTTTTTATAGAATTTCCCAATGTTAATAGATTTCCTTGATTATCAATGAATTTTCCCAATGTTTAAAGTTGCACTAAAACTGTATGAAATCTTCAGAATTTGGATGTCATTTGTTTTCTAACCTTCTCTCTGTTTCAAGAAATGCTTTTTCCAAATTAAAGAATCAGGCTTTTTATAGAATTTCCCAATGTTAATAGATTTCTTGATTATCAATGAATTTTCCCAATGTTTAAAGTTGCACTAAAACTGTATGAAATCTTCAGAATTTGGATGTCATTGTTTTTCTATCCTTCTCTCCATTTCAAGAAATGCTTTTCAAATTAAAGAATCAGGCTTTTTATAGAATTTCCCAATGTTAATAGATTTCCTTGATTATCAATGAATTTTCCCAATGTTTAAAAGTTACACTAAAACTGTATGAAATCTTCAGAAATTTGGATGTCATTTTTTTTTCTATCCTTCTCTCCATTTCAAGAAATGCTTTTCCAAATTAAAGAATCAGGTTTTTTATAGAATTTCCCAATGTTAATAGATTTCCTTGATTATCAATGAATTTTCCCAATGTTTAAAGTTGCACTAAACTGTTTGAAATCTTCAGAATTTGGATGTCATTTGTTTTTCTATCCTTCTCTCCATTTCAAGAAATGCTATTTTCCAAATTAAAGAATCAGGCTTTTTATAGAATTTCCCAATGTTAATAGATTTCCTTGATTATCAATGAATTTTCCCAATGTTTAAAGTTGCTTTTTTTAAAACTGTATCAAAATCTTCAAATTTGGATGTCATTTGAATTTTTTCTATCCTTCTCTCCATTTCAAGAAATGCTTTTCCAAATTAAAGAATCAGGCTTTTATAGAATTTCCCAATGTTAATAGATTTCCTTGATTATCAATGAATTTTCCCAATGTTTAAAGTTGCACTAAAACTTTATGAAATCTTCAGAATTTGGATGTCATTTGTTTTTCTATCCTTTCTCCATTTCAAGAAATGCTTTTTCCAAATTAAAGAATCAGGCTTTTTATAGAATTTCCCAATGTTAATAGATTTCCTTGATTATCAATGAATTTTCCCAATGTTTAAAGTTGCACTAAAACTTTATGAAATCTTCAGAATTTGGATGTCATTTGTTTTTCTATCCTTCTCTCCATTTCAAGAAATGCTTTTCCAAATTAAAGAATCAGGCTTTTTATAGAATTTCCCAATGTTAATAGATTTCCTTGATTATCAATGAATTTTCCCAATGTTTAAAGTTGCACTAAAACTTTATGAAATCTTCAGAATTTGGATGTCATTTGTTTTTCTATCCTTCTCTCCATTTCAAGAAATGCTTTTCCAAATTAAAGAATCAGGGTTTTTTATAGAATTTCCCAATGTTAATAGATTTCCTTGATTATCAATGAATTTTCCCAATGTTTAAAGTTGCACTAAAACTGTATGAAATCTTCAGAATTTGGATGTCATTTGTTTTTCTATCCTTCTCTCCATTTCAAGAAATGCTTTTCCAAATTAAAAAGAATCAGGCTTTTTTATAGAATTTCCCCAATGTTAATAGATTTCCTTGATTATCAATGAATTTTCCCAATGTTTAAAGTTGCACTAAAACTGTATGAAATCTTCAGAATTTGGATGTCATTTGTTTTCTATCCTTCTCTCTGTTTCAAGAAATGCTTTTCCAAATTAAAGAATCAGGCTTTTTATAGAATTTCCCAATGTTAATAGATTTCCTTGATTATCAATGAATTCTCCCAATGTTTAAAGTTGCACTAAAACTTTATGAAATCTTCAGAATTTGGATGTCATTTGTTTTTCTATCCTTCTCTCTGTTTCAAGAAATGCTTTTCCAAATTAAAGAATCAGGCTTTTTATAGAATTTCCTAATGTTAATAGATTTCCTTGATTATCAATGAATTTTCCCAATGTTTAAAGTTGCACTAAAACTGTATGAAATCTTCAGAATTTGGATGTCATTTGTTTTCTAACCTTCTCTCTGTTTCAAGAAATGCTTTTCCAAATTAAAGAATCAGGCTTTTATAGAATTTCCCAATGTTAATAGATTTCCTTGATTATCAATGAATTTTCCCAATGTTTAAAAACTTTTAAAACTGTATGAAATCTTCAGAATTTGGATGTCATTTGTTTTTCTATCCTTCTCTCCATTTCAAGAAATGCTTTTTCCAAATTAAAGAATCAGGCTTTTATAGAATTTCCCAATGTTAATAGATTTCCTTGATTATCAATGAATTTTCCCAATGTTTAAAGTTGCACTAAAACTGTATGAAATCTTCAGAATTTGGATGTCATTTGTTTTCTATCCTTCTCTCTCTGTTTCAAAAATGCTTTTCCAAATTAAAGAATCAGGCTTTTTATAGAATTTCCCAATGTTAATAGATTTCCTTGATTATCAATGAATTTTCCCAATGTTTAAAGTTGCACTAAAACTGTATGAAATCTTCAGAATTTGGATGTCATTTGTTTTCTATCCTTCTCTCTGTTTCAAGAAATGCTTTTCCAAATTAAAGAATCAGGCTTTTTATAGAATTTCCTGATTTTACAAACATTATCTTGATTATCAATGAATTTTCCCTATGTCTAAACATGCACTAAAACCTTATCAATATTTATAGACCAAATTGGATGTTTCTTAATCAATCAACAATTCAAATCCCCCAAATAACTTGTATAGTTACAGTTTATTTTAATCACAACCATCTCATTAAATATTTGTTTCTAGTGGCAAGGTGACCCACTGTTGCTTGGAACAAAATAGCTCTTCAATAAGGAAATAAAATTTTCAGGTAGATTGATATTTCTGTCTTTTTCTAGGAATCTCCAAATTATGATAACGTGCAGAAGCTGATCTATCTTGACATGTGTATGGCTGAGACATTGAGGATGTATCCAGTAGGTACGGTGTAAGTTTTGTGAAATTTATTTGCATTCAACTACTTAAATTTTTTGAAATGTAAGAACTCTAAGGAAAATATTTTGGTTATAAACCATTATCACGATATGATAATAATCAATAAACATGGTCACGTTGTCATCACGTGACGACAACGTGACCATGTTTTAAATGGAACAGGCTGATCTTAAAAAACTTTCAGTTATCTGTTTGGATAAGTCTTGTTCTTATGTACATCGTCTTTGTCATGTTGTATTGATAATGTTATAATTTATGAATATGTCCTGAAGATGGTTTATTAGACCAAAACGTCCGACGTTGACATATTAACATTAAAACAGCATGATTGTATATAAGGATTTTTGTTTGTTTTTTCCGTATATATTTTTTTCATATATATATATATATATATATATATATATATATATATATATATGGGGGGAGGTTGAAATTTGAGATACAACTAAAAATATATCTGTAAAAGGACAATATGAATAAAGACAGAAATGAAAACTTATCTTAGACAATGCATTTTCATCCTTTGATTGACTTTATCAAGGCAAATTTAATGATTTATTTTGCAACAGGTATACATAAACAAAAGCAAAATGTCATTAGTTTTTCAAAATTTTTAAATTTAAGAAGGTTTATAAATACACACAAGGCTAACTAAAACGTTAAGATAAATTATGAAGGATGCTAAGTGATTTAATATATAATGAACAAAAGATGCTTCAAGTAGGTAGAGTTCATCACCCTGGGAAGGCAGCTCATCTAAGGGAAGAAAAACATTGATTTGAAAAGTTCACTGCTTTGAGGTCATATCTAAACACAACAAAGGCTATGGATGTAAATCCAAACAGAAAATTTGGTGTGAGCCCTAATTGTGTTTAACTCTCAATACTGACAACCTTCCAGCCAAGCCATCCCCAAATATTTTTTTTAAACATATTCCTTTGGGTCGTAGTTGGGCCAGGGCAGGGCCTCCACATACCATTGCTCAGGCCCGTGCCCTTTTGAATCTCACTACCAAAAGGACTGAATGTTTTCCAAACAGCATGTTACATTTATTGTGCAAGATACATGGAATTTTGTTTTAATCATTTCACTCCAAGCAAGGCAATAAAGCCAATTGAGCAATTGATTCAATCTACTCTTTTCATTTCATGTCAATTGAAAACATTAGTCCAAGAAGGTACAATGAGTGACTCTCCTGAAGGTTAGCATCAGCCATGCTGATGGAAATCAAAAAGGGTTCTCTCAGACAATAGAGAACTGTTACTTTTTTGAAGTGTTAGAATTAACAAGCCACACTTTTACCTCATTTAACAACAGATTGTAGGACATTTCTTTTAGATCAACTGCCAAATCAACCTTATCAAACTGATCAGACTTACAATCAAGAGAGAAGTAAATAGTTCTATCATCAACATAGATACCAAGTTGAGAACTGATGACGTGAGGAAGGTCATTGATCAAAATTAGAAACAACATAGGTCCAAGGATAGAGCTCTTTCTCAAAAACACCTGCATTCATGCAAAAAGGATATAGAAGAGTGGCCATTCAAGACAACGTTCATTTTGTATTTTTTTTAAAGACTGAATTACTTAAAAGATTTGCTCAAAAATATCATAACCTTTTGATTTGTAAAGAAGACCAGTATGCCAAACTGTGTCAGATGCCTTTGATATATCCAAAGTAACAACAAGTTTTTTATCTAAAGATTGAAAACTCTTACAGCAATAATCTTTAACACATCAGCAGTTGACCTAGAGAAGCAAAAGCCATATTGCTTATCTGAAAGAAGACCCTATGAGATAAGCAATATGGCTTTCAGATAAGCAATTCAGGGTTAATCTAATAATTTATCAACAAGAGGTAGAAGTCTAACAGGCTGATGGAAGAATCACCTTGAGTTTTTAAAGACTGGAACAAACAGGAAAGCAAGAAGCAGCAAGGCATTTATTGTAGAGTTTAGGGAGAACAGGAGCCAGTTCAGAAGCATATTTCTTAAGAATTATTGCAGGGAAACGATGAAGTTCACATGCTTTGAAAAATCAAGTTTAGAGATCATAGCAGAAAATTATGGACAGAGTTATATATATATATATATATATATATATATATATATATATATATATATATATATATATATCCCTCAATAGAGATTGAGTTCTAAGTGGAAAGTCAGGCAAAGATACTCCAGATGAGTCAAGAGTAGAATTTGAAGGGAATTTAAGCAGGACATTCTGCTTTATCAGCAAGAAGATATTAACATTTCAAACTGAAACAAGAGACGATGGGTAGAAGACTTACTCATATTTAACACTATTACATGCCTAAAATAATGAGAACCAAAGTTGTTAAATAGAATGTGTCATTATATCAGCAAACAAAGACTTAACCTCTTTGAGAACATGTTTGCAATTATTACAAGCAGACACAAAGAGATATCTATTGGAAATTGGAACTATCGTGCTGATACTGCTGGAAAGTAATTCCTGTGGGCTATAGCAGCTGAACAGGTCTTTGATAATCAAAAAGAAGAGATTCTGCTTTAACATGGTATTTCTGAGAAGGTACAAAAGCATCTATGCTGGTTTTAACTCAAGAGAAACATGTGTGACCCAATTCTGAATAAGAAATTTATGAATATCAATCCAAGGGGCATCTAGAATAGTTATGAAATAAATCCCAATCAGTACACTGGTAATAGAAAGAATTCTTTTGAATAGGAGGTTTCTTTCTAACAGATGATCCAAAACACTTTACATATACTCACAAACATGAGCCAAATTGCTAAGAGGGCATAATTCTGATGCTTGAGAAGTGCGAGGAGAGGAGGTAAAGAACAAATTAAATAAAGAAGATCAGATTTATTAGGGAAACGAGTAGGGGAATCCACTAGTTGACTGACAGACTGAGCAATGGAGAAACTTAAAGCCTGAATACCATCAACATCAATAATATTAGAAAATATCAGATACTTGATATGATGAGTATTAAAATCATGAAACACAAAAATGTTTGTAGATGAATGTATGGAGGGAGAGCCATTTTTATATTGTCAGAAATTTTGTCTAATATGTTACAGTCCTGAGAAAGAAAGCAATAAAGCCAAAAGAGATAGCTAACAAAGTGCAATAATGAAAATTGAAAGAACATGAAGAAGTTGTCTGGGACTTAATAAAAATGAATTCTCTTGCATTTGAAAAAGATTTTCCCAGATGTAGATACCATTAGCATTCATATGTATCCTAGTAAGTTTTGACAAAAAGGAAGATAGCCTGGAATAGAGAATTCAATGGTAACAATAGAAAAATTTTAAAAATTTCGAAAAAGTGTGAAGATATCTGGAGAAGATTTCAAGAAAAAATTCTATACTACCAAAATGGGATGAATACGACAAACATTGGAAAAAAGAAAGGTCCGTTGGTGGTTAGGTGATTTTTTTTTTACTTGTATTTCTTTTTTCACTGCATATGTCATAAGATTTTCTTTTAAAAAGAAAAAGGCTAATATAATTCACTGTCCATTGTCTATGGCAATATAAACTGGCCAGAAAATATCTAAAAGTAAATCCTAATGTGGCCTCAGGGTTGCTTACCATAAAAACATGCAGCGACACCTGTCTATGCATATCATGGCACTGCAAATACCCAATGTTATACAACTGCTGATGTGATCAACCTCTCTGATTGCTACCAAAGAGCACAAGCTCCTTACTACCAGTTGGATGCAACAACAAATAAACTGCCAACCTGGTACACTAACAAAAAAAGACAAACCAAATTTAGACCACTTTGATGTTCTCTGTAAAATATGAAGTGTATGGGCTTCAGAACCAAAATCTAAAATTAAATATAAACACTGTAATTGCTTCAGACCAGGAAAAAAGCCAATCAATTTTGAATTTCTGAAGTAACAGTATTTTGAATTTCATTTTGGAAAATATGTGATGACTTATAAAATTAACTTTTGTGTTTGTGCATGCGTTCAGTGTGAATAGTGTGTGTGTTTGTTCAGGATAATGTGCTTGTTTCTATGTTCTCTATATGTATTAAGTGAAGATTTATTACATGCTGTACAATTATATTTATATAACTGTTTTAGAGTAGTTTCACAGTGAAATCTTGTATCTGTACTAAGTCACTCCTAAAATAGGTTCGACGTACAAAACGTTAGGAACTTGATATAATAAGTATAACGCAATATTCCGACTAACAGTTGTCTGGCATTGACTGACTGACCAACTCCCCACAGCGACTATTACTACTACTACTACTACTTATTATAGGTGGAGAGTCTATTAACTATAGAATAGGTGTGTTCCACTATAACAATAACATGTACATTTAAGAATATTTTCTCTACCTAATCAAACTTTTATGATTCAGTATTACTCTAACCTTTTGACCTTTGTCTTAACTACAATCATTTATAAATTTCTTTCAGTGAGAGAAATTAGATTTAATCATAACAAATATTATTGTTTTCTCTTTGTCAGGTTGTCAAGGGAATCAAAAGAAGACTGCATTGTGAAGGGAATGAAAATTCCCAAGGATACAGCAGTCCTGTTTCCAATCATGTGTTTACATTATGATCCAAGATATTGGACTGAACCGGAAAAGTTTGATCCTGAACAGTGAGTATTAAACAACTAAGTGGTGATACAAGTAACCTGGAGGAAGCAAAACTCTAGTTTCAAATCATTGTCAATTTCTTTAATCCTAACACTTATTGGTTAAACAATAGACATTCAGATTTTCGGGTGGAGTGAATAAATGTCAAGTAGCTAACTTGTATATTCAATATTAATGCTGTCCTGGAGAGTTCGTACATTGCAAGTGCCAAGATGAAGTTGATGTTGTTTTGTAGAGTTTTTCACAGTAATCAGATATGTGTGGAACTAATTAGATGTAGTTGTCAGAAAACCAACACAATGATTTCTTTCAAGGGGTGAAGTCTTGTGTTGGACCATCCACACTTTTTGGATCTGTTGATAAAAAAGTAAAGTTGCAAAAGACTGGCCATGGAAACTCCAAACAACAGTCCTCATGTGTTATTATCGTGGAGTTTAACCTCTCTGGATCACAGTCAATACCAGCCAGTACACGCGTCTCGGCAGAGTTAAGCTATCATGAGTTTTCCTTCCTATCTGAAGTTTTTATCATGAAACCAACACTAAAAGGATTGCTAACCAAAGCTCAGAAAGACTCCTTTCACCCTCATAAAGGGCAGCTAGCCCGCTCCGGTTTTCAACCTAGTACTTTACATAGCTCCGCGGGCTATATATATATATATATATTTTACACTGGATGTTGGAGTAAACAGATCGTCATCAATGTGCCAATATATCGCTATATTTTTAAAATAATAATAATAATAACATATAAAATTATTATGAGAATATTTTATTATTATTATTATTATTACAATTATTAATAATTATTATTATTATTATTATTGCTGCTGTTATTTTTAAAATATTTGAAAGATATATGATAATACAAAGTTTACTAGTAGTTAAAACGAAACAAAATAACGTTATAACTAGGAATGCTTTTTCAGCAAAATTGAAATTACGTTACTTTTCAATTAATAAATAAGAAAATGTAAAGGATTAAAATTCATATCAAATGTTATTAAAATAATCTTTGAATATAAATAATAATAGATAAAGAAATCAGTGATAATGAGCCACTAGTCAAAGATAAACAAAAATGCTTTTCTCTAATTCCAAAAATTACAACAACTTTCGTAAAAACAACAACAGATAAATAAATGTTACACTTAGACATAAATAGATTTGAATTATGCCACTATAATTAATTTAACAAAAATACAGTACATTAAATGTTGTTCTTTATATACGAAAGAGAGCCAAAGAAAGCCGTTCTTCATCTACCAAATGATCACCTTGTGATGCACCTTAACATGTCGTCAGTCATGTTACCTTGAGTCTTTATGAAATCTTTGAAAAATATCAAACCCCTTCGCATTCAGGTATTCTATTCAGGGTTAATAATGCCTTGGCTGGTGTCTGGGTATCCTTTCCTCATCTTGATGGGGATTGCAATCTATGTAGAGGACCTAGTCAATGAAATTAAAAGTCATCCTTGATGTTTTTCTTTCATTCTCCTATCGTTCAATAAATTAATTAAATAGATTTTTGTAAATATATAAAAATGTTTTCATGCTAAAAAAATCAAAGTATATTTACCTGAAACATCTTTGGTGAATGTTCACAATCAGTAAATTATAAAAAATGAAACAATGCCTTTAATTCTATGGCTAAATTCAACGTCTATGAAATATCTAAAGTGTGTTGAAGGCAATTCAAATTAAAACAACTATTTCATTGAAAGATTTCTCATGATTCTTTGTGGCATTTAGTTAAAAAACTGACAATATTTTTTTTAAAAGGCAAAAAACATTTCTCTAATGAAGAATCAACAAAGGCTTTCATAAATATGATGAATATTTTTGTCATTACAGCTTCAGTGAGGAAAACAAAGCCAAACAAATACCCTTCACTTATCTTCCTTTTGGTGGTGGGCCACGAATCTGTGCTGGAATGCGATTGGCAGATCTTGAATTCAAGATGGCTGTTGTACAAATGCTGAGGAAATTCCGTCTTGTTGCTTGTGATAAAACTGAAGTAAGTATTCTTAATCTTCACTGATCATCTTCATATGAAATACAAACTTGGTATAGGGTTGTAAAAAAGTAAATTCTCAATTTTTAAAAGATTTATTTTTATCATTTTGATTCTTTTTTCCCATTTATCTAAAAAGGTTATTTCGTATTACCTAGTTTAATATACTTTCCAAAGTTTCTTCTTTATGAGTGAATTTTATTTTACCAATATTTGACAATAAGTTGCTGAAACCAAAAACTAGCAGAACTAAAAAAAAAAAAAATGTAAATATTTTGTTGAATTCAGTGTTGAAAAATTTCACTTTAGAAGAATCTATTTTCCATTTTGTTTTTGACTAGCAAATGCCAAACTGAGCCTTCAAAAATGTTTTTTTTTCTTCATAAAATAAACATATTTTGTGACTTGAATCTTCGTATTTTAATAGACAAGCATTTTGAAAACCAGATTTAGTGGAAATTGGCCTGTTAATTTCTGAATCTTTACATTTACATACATTTATATATATATTATTATATATATATATATTTGCTTACATTTATATACATCTTTGATTTATTTGAAAATTATGACATAAATATGTTATAAAATCACTACAAAAATAGTCATTTTGTTTCAACACTTCTGGTGTCTTATCAAATGATGGTGTTGAATGTTGAGCACTCTTTTAAGAATAGTATTTTTTGGTTATTGGAATTTATACCAATAACACCAATCCTATACTTGGACATCTTTATATTTAGATACATATTATCACTTCCTTCAAGAGAATCATTTGTCAATATTGGTTTATAATTGTATATTCAATCAATTGTAATACAAAAATAAAATAATGCAAAAAGTCTTTCTAAATACTGGAATCGTAATCAGTTTTTATCATGCTTGACATAGAGAGTAAACATATCAAATGGAGTAGGCAGTAAGTTTTCTTATTTGTGTCTCTTTGGGGTCAATATACCAAAAGACCATGAGTAACACTAAGAATGATCTTTGATTGTTAGCAAACAAAGGACCAATCTTCCCAAGGTGAGTATGTCTACTCTACTCTGAGTTGCCAACTTTAACCTCCCTCAGAGGCACAAGATTAGGGGGGCTGAGAAATAAATTTGAGTGATTTCATTAACCCATTGGTCCTTTGAATTACATGAAGTGTTCAGACATATATTTGCACATGAGAAGTATTTCTCTGACTATATGCCTATGTCCTCTCTTTGGGATTGTAGGTCAATCTATGTTTTAGCATTGATGAAAATACTTGGTGAAATTTTGGAGTTATGATAAACCCTTGAGATTAATAATAGTTGCCCCCAAGAGAAATGGGCTAGAACTATTGAATTTTTAAAAATTACTCTTAAAAACTTCTGAATTAAAGAGAAAAATTTTGTTTTGTTAAAAGATCTGAGATAATGAAGTTTTCTTATGATTTTTATCCCATCAGAAAGAATGACTGTCTGAGAGGTAGAAAAAAATGGCAGACTGTCAGGTGCGATAAAATGGCAGGCTGTCAGGGGCGATAAAATGGCAGGCTGTCAGGTGCAAAAAAAACATCATTTTGAGATGTGCAATAAAATTATATGCTGAGAATTGCAATAAAATGACAACCTCGGAGTTTCAATAAAATTAAAGTCTTGCAATAAAAATAAAAAATTATAAACTTTTTACCTGTCAGGTGCAATAAAATGTTATTGTCTTACACCCACTTCTATATTTGTATATCTGCTGAACTCTTTTCCTCTTGTAACTTGGGAATGATTCATTTGATTTGTGTATTTACTCATTTTGTATTTAAGCCATGAAAAAGACTATCTAAAACTTCATACTGATTTTTTGTTTCAGCATTTGTTTTAGGTATGTTTCTTTGTTGTCTCTCTCAGTTGATTGTTTTTTTATTGTAAATTCATAGAAAAGATGAAAGAATAATAAATTGTAAGCTATATTATTATTTTTCTTTTCCAAATGTCTCCTTTGTTTCCTTTTTTCATTGCAGAAGAAGATTGAATTTGCTTTAGCAGGGATACTTAAGCCAAAAAATGGAATCTGGACCAAAATTGAACACCGTTAACAACTAAAGGACATTTGTAAACAAGAAAAGAGTCAATCTAAATGATCATCAGCATTTAGCTTTGATTTGTGTGTCTTCCTGTTGTTGTTTTTACCCATTTATACATTTCAGCACCCCAAACTTAAGCAATAAAAGAGTCAATCTAAATCTTCATATATTTTTAGTTTTAATTCTCGTTGGTGACCATGTTTCTTTTTTGCCCAGATCTGTTTTGACACACAATTTCTATATTTATGCACTCCAACCTTAAGCAATAAAGATTCAATCTAAATCTTCATATAAATCTTCACTTGACAACTTTAGCAGAAAATCTGTGTTCTTTCTCATTCTTCACTAGTTTGTCACAGTTAATAAACTAAAAGTTATGATAAACAAGTCTATAATCCCAAGACACATTGATAAAAGAATATCTTGATTATCCTTCATTTGATCAAAGGAATTTTTCATTGCTAATTCATGCTTTTTCATCAGATAAAAGAACTAAAAGAAAATCCTGTCTCATCATGAACAAAACTTTTGTCTAATAAAGAAATATTTATGATATTCAACAAAAAAAAATATCACATTACAATGTTTGTTTCTTTATCTTGCCATAAAATAGCCTATTAAAATAATTAAATGATAGAAACTTGAAAAGATGTTTTTAATCTAATGACAGGTTGTAGAAATCATTTAGTTATAGCTGATAGTCTTTGATTTTTAGAAATATTGGTTGCAAAGAAAATGAAATCTCAAACAAAGGAAATGTTTTCTTTTTCAGTCAAACGTGGAACTATTCAACAACTGCAGGGAAAGGTGGGAATAACTTAACATACAATACTCAGGTTAACTGATCCCTTTAAATATATATATATAAATATAAATATATATATATATAATCTCATATTCAAAGCTTATATAAAACTGACATGTATTTAAGCAACATGATCAGATTAGATGTTTTGTATTTGACTGATGATACCACTTTGACCTTCTGGAGTAAAGTCGCATTACTTACAGAGAAATTAAATCCACAAAGAGAAAAATGCAATCATGTGTGAGAGCCTATACTGTCGCAGTGTCCACTGAAATATGAGAAGTGAAAAAGGTTATCTACCTTATCTCCCCGCAAGGCAGGATGTAGCACAAGGCTGTTTTTTAACTGAGCCCATAAGGCTCAGGCAAAAATTCCCCATACACCCTGTATACACGGGGTCGGGTAGCTGTCTACCACTCCAGATGAGACTCTGCCCTTCGGCATAGCCTTGTCTGGTTTCCTCTCTGCCTTTGGGCAGAGAGTTCAACTAGCACAGCTGGAGACAAATCTTCAATTAATTGCCGAAGCAAGCCAATAACCGATTATGCTTAGCCTGGTGGATCAAATAAAGTGTTCAGTTCTGAATTCCAATCACTTGAAGAAGGTCGCCGAAACGTCATGAAAGAAAAAATATTGCAAAAAAGATGAGAACAGTAGTCCAATGAATCTAAATAACATAAATAATGTTTTAAATCTTATAAAATTCTAAATTTATATGTGACAGGGTCTCATCAAGTACATATAGTGTCGGGAGAGCGTCCCCTAGGAAACAATTTGGACAATTAGAAATTAAGGAGGGTTAACTGCCAATCACATCGCTCACCTCATTTTTATACACGCTTTAATTCCTCATTCTATCCTCTATTTGCTGGCAGGCTTTTCACCTCTCAAGTAGGTGCAAGATGCATTCATTTTGCATTTGCTACAAGTCCTGCTAATCCTGGATACATTCATAAACTACAACTGATAGCAAGGCCTCTAATCGGGAGATTGGAACTTTTGAGGAGCATGGAACGATCTCTTAATTGTTGTTGTTCCCAGGTTCACCCAGACCCAGGGTGGTAGCACCTGTTAGGGCTCCAACTCTGGGAAAATAGTGAACCCCAAGTAAAAACACAGCACTATGAAAATATAAAAAAATACATTTTATAGTAAAATTACCAACAATACATTATGTACAAAAAGCTGAGTATCATTTACCATGTATTCAATTGTGAAAGCAGAATAACATACATCATATTTTTTATGACTTCAAAGCACCCAAGATAATTACATTTCGGCATTAAATGACCCATAAGGATGTTGATATGCCATTAAACAAAAAAATTCACAATTCATCAAAATGCGTGGAAAAATAAGTCTAGTTTGAAATATATCAGCAACGATAAAAACTAAATTTGACCTTAGCTACAATAAAAAGAAAATAAAAGCAATAAATAAAAAGAAAATTCTTAATACAGGTGAAAAAAAATCAACAGAACAGAAAAATAAAAGTCCGACGAAACCAGAAAAAGATATATAAAAAAAAATTTTGCCAAAGTCAAAATGAAAAGAAAATAGACACTTAAGGACAGTAATTCAGAGACAAAAAATAAACTCATGTACAGAGAATTCGCAGATAAAAGTCCATAAGTGCAGTCAAAAAACCGTCGTAAACTTGTCCGCTATCTTAAGCAAAAAACAATTATGGGGAATTAATATTTATTGTACCGATAAGTACAAATGTGGCACAAGTCTAAAATGGGGATGGGAGAGGAAGGCTGGTTTTCACCTGTCCTAACTTTAACCTAGTTAGCCACAATCATTGACCCATTCATCCAAATATTTCTTTACCATAGCATCGCATTTACATTTGGCAAAAAAGTAGCTGATGATCAGATACATGCAAAATGACAGATAAAAGTTGGCTGGATTTCACAAATCACCACCCAGCAGTAGAGAACTTGATTTTGCAGTAGATAATAGAGGCATTTTATTCAACAATTTTTTTATATTCAGTGAACCTATTGTTAGGATTATCAACAGTGTTGTGCATTTGATTGAAGGAGTTCTTATTCCAGCCTGATTTGGAGCTGTTCTTGGACACAAGGAGACAAAAGTTACCAAGGCCACAGGCAGGAATTATGCAATCTTGCCTGTGGTAAACAACATATATAGAGGGGTTCACAATAGACTTCACCATCAATCTTACCAAAATGACGTACCAATCTCAACCGAGGAAAAGGAATGACTCATAAGGTCAGTATTACATCGCAGAGCAAGCAACTGCCGAACAAAGGAGAAGAGACAGATCTCAAAGCCAGAGGAGTGTGAAGTAGGAGTTGAGAGTGTGATATGTGTGTTGTTAGACTGTGTCATTGAATGGTGTGAGTTACATAATATAGATTTGGTTTGTGAGGGGGAAGTTTTGAGTTTGAGAGAGAGCTTTGCAGTTATTTTGGATGAGGGTGGGGAGATTGTTACTCTCTTTAAGATAGACGTTCTTGATGTGATGACTGGTGTTTACAAAATGCCAGTAGTACTAGCAGTACTATTGTTGCAGTAGTGATTTATGATATCATTTTTTCTAATTATTTTGTCCCAAGTAAGGCAGTATTGCCACTAGTACGCAAGGTGTTAAAGAGAGTGAAAGAGAAATAGAAGACTGAGAATAGGGAGGATTACAAAAGATGAACATGGTTCAAGAAGATGATACTTGATGTTGCATTTAAGTTTTTGAAGTTGTAGTTTTCAGGGAAGCAAGGAAACGGAAGAAAGTTCCACAGGTGGGAAGTGCGAGACAAGAAACTTTCGAAGTAGAAATGGTGGTTACATTTAGCTATTGCAACAATAAAATGGGACACCAGAGAAAAAAAGCTTGTCAGAGCAGTTGCCATGAAAATATTTGAAGAAAAGACAGAGGGAAGCCACATCACATTCATGAGAATGTGACTGTTGTCAAGATGTAAAATGGATTCTGACAAGAAAAAATTCTGTCACGATATTGACCCAAATTTACTCACAGTAGATGAAGCTATTGATTCAATATAGGTGCTCCACTTTATATCAGTAGAAAACATGAGGACAAGAAGGCATAATGTGTTGGTCTCCTGGAGTCCAGCATCAGCCATGCTGATGAAAATGTGTTAAAATTACAAGAAATTTCCTGCCCCAGTTAACCACTGACTGGGATCCTTTTCAAGAACAGCATCCAGGTTTACTTTGTCAGATCTGATGTATTTGCTATAGATTGGGAAGACATCAGCAAGATCATTGATGAAGATCAGAAACAGTGTAGGACCCAGGATAGAGTCTTGCCGGACACCCACAATCCTGTGAAAGGATCAGGAAGCAAGACCGTTCAAAATGACATTCATTTCATGATTTGATAAGAATGATTGGATTAAATCAAGCAATTGTCCTGTATTACTGTATCCTAGGAGCTTACATAGAAGACCAGTATGCCAAACCCTGTCAAAAAAATTTTTTAGCATCTGTCAGTAGAACCTCATATCCATAAGTTTTGTTTCTTTTTCATCTGTGAAGAAATTGTCTAATATTCATATAGGAGATTAGATATTATGTAGCACTTCAGGACTCATTTCTTTGTTTCTAACAATATTTTCAAAGGGTCAATACTTTTGCTTAGTTTGTGAAAAGACATTTTTCATTATTCATACATAATTTACAAACCATTTTCTTTCCCCAGGTAACCATTGATTGCAGATCCTTTTCAAGAGTAGCAGCCATGTTTACTTTATCAGTTATATCAGACTGGCTACTAAATCAGGAGTAAATGGTAATGTCATCTGCATAAATATCTAGTTGGGGACTGTTGACATTGGGGATTATTATTGACAAAGATCAAAAACAGTGTAGGACCCAGGATAAAGAAGAGAGAGAACACCTACATTTGTATGAAATGATCTGGAAGCGATGCTGTTTGTGGTGATTTTAGCTTGGAACAAAGACTGGTGGAGTTATTTTCCCTGATTAGCCTGTCCTTGGCATCTGTTGTATCATTTGTTTTTAAAAATGAGAAGTATGAAAGAAAAACTATTAAAGTTGGCTTCAAATTAAAAAAAAAGAAAATAGGTTGCTGGTTGGTTTCTTTTGAAGTCAAACATCTTGTTGCATTTATAAATCAACTCAAATATTTGTTCAGTTGGATTTGGATTTTTTGCAATTAATTCAAAATTTTAAGATAATTACCTAATAATTTAGA